TTTTTTCTCTAATCTTCCTTTAAAGGCAAATCTAGCGGACTCGCGCGGACGACAGTGGCACAAATGCCTTATTCGCCAGCTATTAAAAACAATCAAGTTCACTCACCTTCCTTTAGTTCAGACGGAAACCTTTCTAAGGCCAAGAACGGTAAAGTTCATATTGGGATAATGAAGTAAGCGAACGCTTGCACCATGGTTTGTCTTACGTCACCGCGCACGCAATATCGAACTGTCAACGATAAATCTTTATTGCCGGTTGGTAGCTAAACGAATTTTTTGCAAAGTAAATCACTCTAGAGCGATTATATGTAGTTGATAGGGCTAAGAGAAGGTGAAAACTTTGTCTCAGTGAATTTCTCCATAATTGTTTCTCTTAAAATGTATGGTCTTTAGGGTAACGGGGCACATGACGTGAGCACGACACGTGACATTTTGCCGTAATGGCTGCAATTAGATATGGCCACTGAACTTACAGATTTCAACCGTGGTGGATGCTTGCAGAAAAGACATAAAGACGTGGATGGCGAACTAACTCGACTCTGTTTTAAACTGAACATAAACGCGGAGAAGTTCTATATGCTGCCTAAATATATCGCACTGTTAATACCATAGTGTATTAACTCAAAAAGAGGACTTTTTCAGAATCGATGAAAAACGAATTACTCACTTCCCGCAAAAAAAAACATTAAAATTTATATGTTATAGTTTATTATAGACACATAAACAATTTCTCAAATGTATTTTTAAAATAAAAAGGAAAAAGTCATTTTAAGTTTTTTAATTACGATTATTTTGGCCAGAACTAGCTCACATAAAGTGTGTCTCTTTTTGAGTTAAGTAGATATCTTTTGATTGTTTCTTACAATATTCTAACAACGGGTTTTTTGACGTGTAGAGAATCAAATTTTACGTTCAGTAACGATATAATATTAAATTTCACATATTTTGAGTTACAACACTATTGTAATATTTGTGCGATATGTACTGACAGAAGCATTTATCATGCTTGACAATTTGAATTATGGATTATAGGTGATCCATTCGTCCAGCGGTAAACAGTGGAAATTGAAACTTAAATGTCTGTGTCTATGCTTTTTATCCTGTACCCTTTATGAACCCATATGAACCTTTATGAACCAATAGGTATTTGTTACCGTTTGTAAAACCTTAGCGAAAGAAAAGACTCGGTCGACATAACTAAACATAAATTTATTTACAAATAGAAACGATAAAGCTGTAACAAGAAAATATAAAAAAGTACAATTAGTAATCTGTATAGTCCAGACCTTATCCCAAAAGGGCCTATATATCTTAAATCACGTGAAGTTCGAGTTTTACACGAGGGTGATCTATGGGCACGTCCTTTCGTTTTAGGAATTTTCATGGGAGTGATGACGTAACGAACCAACATAAAAATAATGGAAGGAAAAAGGAATTCGAGAACGATTCAAAACTAAATAGCCAGGAACCAGTAAAGAGGGTGATAAAAAAGAAGTCCGCAACATCACACGTTATCCCTCCTAACGCAGAAAAGCGTTCTCCTCTGAAGATGCGTCTTAGGAACTTGCATGCGAGTTGCCTCACGATGCCTGAGGCGGAGAATTGTAAAGCCAACGTCTGCCATACAAAAAGCGAAAATGTTATTACACCACTGAATGTATTCTAATCATTAGTTAATTGATATAATGGTTATTTGAAATTTTTCATATATAACTAAATATTTATTATTAGTTTACTTTTTTCTGCCGCAAAGCGGTATTGTGAGCATTACTGTGATCCGGTTTTGGAAAGCAAGGGATTCTGCTGAAATTACAGTTTTAACTTATGTCTCTAGGTGACAAGCACAGTGGCCGTGCCCGTCAGATCTTTGCAATCTAAAGCTCTGAGTGACACTGCAACTGCTATGGACAGGCGTGTCACTTACCACCAGGCACGCGACTAGTTCATCCCATAACAAAGTTTATTCACGTAATTTTTCGTTGTAATTTATCTCGTACGTATTTTGTGAATAAGACACTATTAAATAAAATGTGAAAAGTACAATTTAGATGGACTGAATGAAATGAGACCAAAATGAAATGGTAACATAGTCTAAACTCCTTCGGAATGGAGCAGCATGCTAATGACGCAGTTGTATTTTGGGCTACAGTAGGCTGTTGCTATGTATGTCTGCAAAGATTGTATAGAGAGCGAGTGTGTTAGGCAGGTGCGAGCATTTGACCGTCATCGCTCACTTTTGTCATAATGACAGCTGCTAGAACCTGTTTTGGAAGTTCATCTGTTCATTTATATTCTGAATACCGCTCTGTTGTTGTATGTCTGCCCGTCAGACGGGTTATTCATGACATAAATTATTATTAGCCCAATTGAAGAAAGTAATTATTACCACAAGTGAAATTTTGCTGTAGGCAATATGTTAAAAAAAGTTTCAACGGGAACACGTTCTACATAATCTATATTTGTCAATTTCTTTTGTTTGATCAGTGAAGGTTTTTTTTAAATATAATTACAATTCCAAATGTTTTATTGTTTTAAATAGCAGTAGGATATCTATATATCTATAAATAGCTCCTTGTGAAAAGTTCGTTCAGGGAAGTACTGTCACCTTACCTATTTCTGCCGCCAAGCAGTAAAGTGTTCCGGGTTTGAAGGGTAAGGTAAGGTAAGGTTACAAAAAAAAAACACAATAATCGAATCGTGCAGGATAATAATAACTTATTAAAGACAATAAAGAACCAAAGGAGAATGAGGATTTTATTTATTTATTTAATGCTCTTAGTATTCTTACAAGCATTCTAGAAAAGAAAGTTGTTGGAAAAAGAGGCTGAGGGAGACCGAGACAAAGTTATATAATCAGACAAGGGAAAAAGTTATATAAGCAAATAAAACTAGGACGCTGAACGAACTGAGATAGTTGGCGATTTTTCCATTGACAAGAATCCAACTCTAAGAGCGGTACACACAGCGAGTTTTAGCAGCGATGTAAACGCGATAATGTAGCGATGTAACGCTGCTTAGGGTCGTATTCCAGAACTCTACTCAATACTCAAGTCAGGACTTGAGTATTGCAGTGAGCACTGAAAATCATAATCAAGTCCTTGCCATTAGGGTCGTATTTCCAGTGCTTGAAATCATACCCAAGTCTGCTCAAATCCTGACTTGAGCATTCAGTAGAGTAAACACAAGCAATGGAAATACGACCCTAATGGCAGGGACTTGAGTATAATTTCGAGTGCTTTAAACCATACTCAAATCCTGACTTGAGCATTGAGTAGAGTTCTAGAATACAACCCTTAGAGTCGCACGTGTATGTAAAGGTAGACGCATTTGCATCGACGCAAGCGCCTATAAATCGCGAGTGTGCGTCCAAAACGTTTGCGTCGCCACTAAAAGTCGCAGTGCGTAATCACCTTTAAATAAGAAGAAAGAAAGTTTTTAGTAATTGTTTTGTCCACGTCTTTTGTCTTTGTTGACTTTTTTTGGTTAGCTTTATATAGCTTCAGTCAAAGACTTGGCTTCAGTGCCTCTACCAGGAGTTTACTGTGACAGTTATCACTAGCGACCGCGTAAATTACTCGTACTAATTTTTGTATGGCAAATTATACAGCGGTTTTGTAAATGGTGACAATGACAAGACGCAGTAATTCTTTTGTTCCGCTTCTAGAACATGGTTTACGTCTCGTAAGAAATATTTCATATACAATTTTCGAGTAACAGTTTATTTTATAATATCAAGTGACGGGTCAAACAAGTCGTGCACCTGATGGTAAGCTACACGCCTGTCCATAACAGTTGCACTGCCACTCACAGTTTGAAATTGCAAAGATCTGAAGGACACTGCCACTGCGCCCGTCACCCTGAGACATAAGCAGAGAACAAATAAGTAATGAGAACGGACACTCTCCGCCCCTCTCTAGCTTTAGATACAGCACCACGCCCCGCACATTGACGGTCACATTGACTGAACGAGAACGAGGCTGTCGGCGAGCCGTTTTCGCGCTAAGACAGCTTTGATATTTGAATATAGTTTTCATGTATTCATTACGAAATTTGTACGTTAATGTATAACATCATTTTATTTCACTATTTATAATGTCGTGAATAGTGCTGTGTACGGCTGTTTATAAACATCTAAACGGGATAAAGAGACGAGTTTCTTTCGTTTTTTGAAAGATGAAACGTGAATAAACTTATGTCTGAGACTCATTCAGTTATTGTTTTCTTTAGTGCAGAGTAATATATAACACGGATTTATTGTATCAATATAATAAGACGCCATAGCTTCGTGAACTAGACAAGGGTCCTCGAATTTTCAATTTTTATTGCCGATAAATATTACGTAGTGAATATACCTAATTATTAACTAGGTAATGATAACGTTGGACACGCAATTTCAAATACTTTGGTTAACTTTTTTAAAGATACCTGTCCAAAGTGCTTTTAATATATTTTAAAAATAAATCTTCAATATTATTCTAGTTAGCGGATTAATAAAAAATATAATATTATATCGATATAAATACGTAATGAACATGTATAATTATTAGGATTCTATAATAGAATTATGGATAACAGATTCGCGTTAGAATTTGCGCTATGTTGCCGCTCTGACCACGTAACGTAAATAGTACGAGCAAGTGATGGGTAACCCTGCCACTTCACGCACACATTTGCGCGTGTGCAGATAGCGCCTTGCTATATGTAGCAGTAGTAGGTAAATAATTGTTGACCGTTGTATGGAGTGACATAAATTGACAAGTCTCAAGTGCAAGTAATTTCACCAGCACCCTTAACCCTTCAAAATCGGGACACAGTAATGCTGACATTACAGCTTGAAATCAGCTAAAAAGCTGAAAGTTTATAGATTCAGCATATCGTGTTCTATGTTATGATGTAAATAACTCGGTTTCGATAAAATGTTAAGTCGTATCTATTATTGTTACTAAGGGAAAATAGGACAAATATTTTTATTACAAACGATTTCTATTACAATTTTGCAGGATGACGGACTACGAGCGCATAAAGGCGCAATGCCTGCAACGGGGGGAGCTGTGGACCGACCCCGACTTCCCCGCCACTCAAGCCTCTGTCTTCTACCACCAGACACCCCCCTTCGACTTCGTATGGAAACGAGCTAAGGTAACGCACTATCATTATCAAGTATAAAAATGCGATGCTACCTGCGCCTGTTTCTGAGCAAAACATAGGAAAAACTCCACTCAATGATCAAACTGCCTGCGTGGCCGAACTGTTATTATGCCGTACTGCCACGCAGAGGTCCCAGGTTCAATTCCAGGGTCGGGAGAAATATTTGTATGGCCTAGTACTAGTTGTATTATTTCTCTCGTGAGTTTGGGTGTAATTTGTGGTTGTCTATGTGTGTGTCTATGGCACCCTCGACACAGGGTTTCCCTAGTGAGGTGCTATGTTGAGTGTGTGCGTGAATTATTAAGTCAGGACTTGAGTATGATTTCAAGCACTGGAAATACGACTCTAAGAGCGGTACACACAGCGAGTTTTAGCAGCGATGTAAACGCGATACAGTAGCGATGCATCGCTGCTTAGGGTCGTATTCCAGAACTCTACTCAATACTCAAGTCAGGACTTGAGTATTGCAGTGAGCACTGAAAATCATACTCAAGTCCTTGCCATTAGGGTCGTATTTCCAGTGCTTGAAATCATACTCAAGTCTGCTCAAATCCTGACTTGAGCATTGAGTAGAGTTCTAAAAAACGACCCTTAGAGTCGCGCGTGTATGTAAATATGATAAATCGCGAGTGTGCGTCCAAAACGTTTGCGTCGCCACTAAAAGTCGCAGTGCGTAACCACCTTTAAATAAGAAGAAAGAAAGTTTTTAGTAATTATTTCCTCCACGTCTTTTTTCTTGAGTATGACTTGAGTATGATTTCTAGTGCTTTAAATCATATTCAAGTCCTGACTCGAGCATTGAGTAGAGTTCGTACATAAACAATGAATAATATTTTAAGAAATGAAATGAATAAAGTAAGTCACTTTAACCAATTCAAAACAAAGCAAGTATTTGAGACTTGCTATATTTTAGGTTTTAAAGTAGTTAAAATGCCTTACTTGGTATTTGAATTGGCAATTAGTGGATAATGAACTTTTGTAAAAAACTTTGAAAACCTTAATATAACAAATTTTTACATTAACAGGAAAATTGTTTATTGTTCTGTGGTTTAAGGCGTCGTTGTTTTGTGTTTTGGGCTTTCCTGTAAAATTTTTTTTAAAGCACTTAGGGTCATGGCACCAATAATAGAAATATTAAGGGAAAGTGTGCCTTTAAAATTGAAATAACTTTTTTGTTTTGAAACATATATCAATAGCGATTAGTTTATTTGACAAATATAATCCTTAAGAAAGCTTATGTTTCATAAAAAAGCTATTATACTAGAATTTCTCTAAATCTCCAGTAATTGACACCAAAATTCCACTAATACACTAACCAGTAATCGACACTCGTAATAATACACCCACTAATTGACCTGAGCAATAAAAAACGTATTACTATGATAGATAATGTTGTCCTAAATATCATTAGAAATGAACTTTAAAAATAAATGTCGAAGACTGATGCTTTTCGATCAATGGCGTCACAAGCTTGCTAAGTTTTGTTAAGGGGCGGCCGACTGGAACCCTAGAAACCCAAATGGGGAGTATATATTAGTACATTTCACAAAGCCAAAAGTCCGAAACTTTAGTCTACAAGGTTGGCAAAAAAGCAATTTTATTCAAATTATAATTAAAGAAGAATGTAGGTGTTATCTAGACAACATAACAACATTCCAGTTGACCGTCGCACTATGCTGTCAATGTATGCATGGATTTTCTCTCTTAATCACTTTCTATAGTAATCAACAAGCAATGCAAAAGGGGCGCAGCTAAGTTTTTCTTCAAAGTGTTTTTTTATGATACCCAGAGACGGCACGAGAGTATCGACACTAAAGGATGCGCAAAATATTTTTAGTCGAAACCTTGGTGTATTTGGCTTTTCAATTTTTCAAATAGCTCAGCTACGGTGCCTGGTCTCTTCGTGCGTTCTGTATAAATCCAGGACAGGTAAAAACTACTAAAATGAGATTTAAATTTAATAATGTAATTTGTAAAATATTTACAATAGTAGGTATATCTACACGTTTACTATAAAACATCTTTATGAAGCTGTAAAAATACTCACCTACCAACTGAGATTGTGAGCGTTATTTGATACAGACACCTACACGTGGACGTTCGTTTAAAGTTCACGTATTTGGAAATCACTAAATCGTTGGCAGTTTCATGGTTAGACGTGGCTATAGATTAGAAGGTACATTTCAACAGCCAATTCACCCACTGATGGCTATAGGCCTGCTGTAATTTGTGCCATTCTTTATAGTGGGGAGTATATATTAGTACATTTCACAAAGCCAAAAGTCCGAAACT